AGATAACTCTCATAATACCGAGGTGTGTCTGTTGTACTTTGGTCCAGATTCTGATCTTGTTTGTCATCTGGGCACACGTAAATCACTCCCGAGCCTGCAAGCACCCAGGAAACTGATGAACAATGACGGTGACAATGAACGATGTTTGTAGTGTGGGTTGGATCAAATATGGCCTATTAGTGAAAAAAATGCAATTTGTGTTGCCATGAATTTCAGTGATGATAATGTATAGAGTTGTATGAATAATACAAACATACCCAACACTTTATGCTTTACCTGCATTGAAAATCATAGGATCATAACCCAATAAATGTTGTCTACTTATGAACAATGTTTAATTATTACCATTATTAATTATCATCACCATCAATATTAATAGGCTAATCCTTATTATTGTTGTTATTAATATCATTATTATTATTATTAGATTATGTCAAATTTCTTAAAGGGAGAGGGCCAATTAACTGTTTGGTTACGGACGTTCTTCAAAATATCTTCTTTTGTGTTCAGCAGGAGAAAGAAGCTCGCACAGGTTTGGAACAACTTGAGGGTGAGTAAATGATGACAGAAATGTTCATTTTTGGGTGAACTATACCTTTAAAATCATTTACTTTATATGCGCCTTGACGAGCTCACTACCCCCAAGGGCCTTTAAATTTGACCAGGCCAAATGCTCCTTGTTACATGCGGTATAAAAATTAGTTTTTTAAACCTGGTATTTTAAATCGTCTATTGTGGAGAGCAGGGACAGTTGCAACATGGCTTATTTCTCCAATCAGGAATGACATCAAATATTAATGTTACACATGCTCAGTTAGCCTCTTCCTTCCTGGAAGAAAGCTGCCACATGTGACTATTCCTTCTGCAAAACAAATACATTTAAAGTTAAAAAAGTATTTTTTAATGATCAGAATGTTTTGTCATACTGTCTAAACTGTTTGCGTGAAGCATTAAAAGTCATATTTTAATCTGTGTTTTCTTAGCTTCTAGGGATAGCTAGTATGTGTCAAAGCTGTTGTGTCGAGCTAACATAGCAAGTTTTATCATGGCTGTCAGTACTGGGACAGTTGCAACATCAATGTAAAACCTTGCCATAACATAAAATGATAATTTTATGTATTAATAAAGAATCCCTTTTAATTGTCAGGTATCTCCCCCTTTTATTTTAGCAAACAGTTTTTATTTAAGTACCAATTTTTCGGCACAACAAGTAGCCTTATTTGTCAAGGTCTGTTTTCAGTATGACACAAGAGAGGAAATGCACAACAGATAGGAGTGTCCTGTCCTGATGGTAGCAGAAAACACAGCGAAGCATAAAGGCACGACACTATGACTTTGCCATTTGTCAAATAACCTTGCATATAACACACACATATATATATATATATGTATATATATATATATATATATATATATATATATATATATATATATATATCCGTAAAAAAATAGGGCACAATGTAGGCCTACTGTATTAATTTAAAAGAATTTTTCATAGTTATTTTTTACTAGTGTTTTACCTGTTTTTGACTTTTGAACTTCATTGCGTTGTATTATAGGGTTAACGGAAATGTATGTAAATTATTGGACAATGTCCGGGTATAAGCTGCCAGTATTTTTTTTTTTTACGGATTTAATATATACATATAGCCTATATAAATAATATATTCCACCATTCACTTAAACACATAAGTTCACAAAGCTTTCACAGAAGTATTATTAAAAGTTAATGTTGATTTTGTTTTAATATATATATTGTAGTTTAAATGTATTGTAATAATCTACCAAAACCTGATTGTTACTTTTCACTATTCACCCTTTTAGTCTTTGGCTTTATACAGCCAATTTAACTTAGTGAAGTTAAACAAGACTGTATGTGCACAAGTAAAATTAATATATTTTAAAATGATGTTAAAGAAAGATTTTATTACATTTTAATGAATGTTACAACTGCCCATTTGGGTGTACTGCAACCTGTTATTGGGTGAGTAGCAGCAATTTCCCTCAGTCTATTGAAGTAGGCTATACATTGTACAGCAGTGTGGGTGGGTAGCTGATATGTGGGTATATTGTATTCAAATTTCGGCTTTCCAAAACAAACAGTCTTTGAGAAAGTCAAGGAAACTCAAATCCACACTGTACGCTTTATGAGATGAAACACTATTTTGAAGGCCCCCTAGCGGTAGACAGCTTGATATGCCGTAAAAACACTTGAACCTATTTACCAGTAGAGGACAGTAAAGTTCTTGTTTTTTCTCTTCAGGACAGTGCAGCGACATTACTACTATTGCAGCGGCGCTACACTACTGCATAAACGTTTTTATATTAGTACGCAACAACGTTTCGAACAGGAGTATTCTACATTGATGTCCCCATTACATTGTTGAATTCAGCAAGTCACAGAACCGAAAGTAGGGTACAGCTCATTTCATTGTGGGATATACAGGCAGGACCCATTTCCTTATCTTCTGTTAGCCTACTTCACATTGTGGCAAATGCAGAAAGTCATCCATATATTCTATGGATAGAAAAATACTATATACTGCAAGAATACAATAAGACCAAAAGGGAAGGTAGTAGCCTACACCACAGTGTTATTAAAGTTAACAAACTAAAACTGAAACAAATGTCAATAACTGTTAATAATAAATGTTAACTGAAATAAAATATATATATAAATTATAATAATATATACTATATACTAAAAATAATACTAAATTACTAATACTAAAATTAAAATGTAAAATATAAAAATCGAATTCATAATATTAATAAAAAATACAATAATGATAATAAAATAACACTGGTACACCATTCTAACCTACCTATACCTATGAGCCAAAACATCATGACCACCTGCCTAAAATGCTGTTGGTCTTCTGCATGCTGCCAAAACCACGCCGACCCGCCAAGGCGGACTCTACAAGATCCCTGAAGGTGTATCTGGCATCAAGACGTTCAGCAGCAGATCCTTCAAGTCCTGTAGGTTGTGAGGTGGAGCTGTTGTGGATCAAACTTGTTGGTCCAGCACATCCCACAGATCAATTGGATTTAGATCTGGGGAATTAGGAGGCCAGGGCAAAACCTTGAACTCTTCATTATGTTCCTCAAACCAATCCTGAACAATGAGTGTCAGGTTGAAAAAAGGGCCACCAGGGAACACCCTTGCACAGAGCATCACACTCCCTCCATCCACCGATTTGTCGTGATCCCACAGTGTATCACTTTCCCAGGTAAACGGTGCACACGTACACGGCTGTCCACTTGATGTAAAAGAAAACAAGACTCGTTGGACCAGACGACTGCTCCGAGGTCCAGTTCTGATGCTGGCATGCTCATTGTAGGCGCTTTCGACGGTGGACAAGGGTCATCACCTGATTGGTCTGAAGCTATGCAGCCCCATACACAGCAGAGTGAGACATTCTGTGTGTTGTGACACATTCCTCCCATAACCTTCATTCACATTTTGTGTACATTTGACCCAGTCACCTTGCCATAAAAATTGCCCTTGTCAAAGTCATTATATCTTTATTACTGTCTCCTGCATCCAACAAGATTACAAAGACTGATTGTTTACTTACCATCTAATCTGCCCAGACCTTATTATGTGGCCTTGTTAGGAGATGATCAATGATTACCAGTCAAAAGTTTGGAAATATTACTATTTGTAATGTTTTTGAAATTAGTCTTTTATGCTCATCAAAGCTGCATTTATTTGATCAAAAATACAGAAAAAATTAATATTGCGAAATATTATTTCAATTTAAAATAATGGTTTTGTATTTTAATATAGCCTACTTTAAAATATAATTTATTTATGTGATGCAAAGCTGAATATTTATCAGCCATTCAGTGTCACACGATCCTTCAGAAATCCTTCTAATATGATGATTTGCTGCTCAGTTATTATCAATGTTGGAAACAGTTGTGTGGTATTTTTTTTGGAACCTGTGATACTTGTTTCAGGATTCGTTGATGAATAAAAAGTTAACAAGAACCGCATTTATTCAAAATAGAAATATTTTCTAACAATATAAATCTTCACTATCACTTTTTATCCATTTAAATCATCCTTGCTGAATAAAATCAGTAATTTCTTTTAAAAAAAAAAATTAAAATCACTGACCCCAAACTTTTGAACGGTTGTTACAAAATGTGTCTTGTAAATAAATGCTGTTCTTTATTATTTATTTATTTATTTTACTTTATATTCATCAAAGAATCCTGCAGGTTATAAAAAAAATATTAAGCAGCACAACTGTTTCCAATATTAATAATAAATCATCATATTAGAATTATTTCTGAAGGATCATGTGACACTGAATGGCAGATAAAAATGCAGCTTTGCATCACAGACATACATACTTTAAAGTATATTAAAATAGAAAAACTATTTTAAATTGTAATAATATTTCACATTACTGTTTTTTCAAATAAATGCAGGATTGATGAGTAATATATATATATATATACAGTATACAGACTGTAATTCTGTCACTTTCAACCTTTTCAAAGAATATTAATATTTGAATTTAAAATATTGAATTACTTTATCCTTCTAATTTACCTTCTGATGTCCTCACAACACTTTTTGCTCCCTCAAAATAAAGCAGCACAAGAAGGTGAACATCAATACTTCATTCAGTCATTTTCAAACCAAATAGATGGCTGAATAAAACCAGTTTATTCCACAAAACAATACTACCACAGCAACTTAACTACACTGCAGCAAAACCTTGGACACATGACCTCCGTCTTTATTTTTACTATTATCCACATTTTAAAATAATGGCAAAGTAAGTTAAAACTACAAATTAATACGTGGAAGTATGGGAACACAAACAGAAGTGGAAAATGTAAGCAAAAAAGTGAAACAAATCATGATTATGTTTAATTATTGCAGCTACTACACTGTTGTGAATATGTAGATGTATATTAGATGCTTTTTGAATGATTTTCTTCACTTCCCAGGCTAAACTTATCCAGGTAAAAAAAAGAAAAAAAGAAAAAGAAAATGTGTATATTTTTATCAATTTACATTTGTGTACAAAATTATCTCATTTAAAATATAAATTGTGTCCAACCGTTTCACTGATAGTGTATATACAGTAAATAACAGATTCTCCATTACAGGAAACATACATTTCTAGTTTTTAAAATTATACTTCTTTAAACAGTTGTACAAAAGCTAGGAAAATATCAGCATATTTCTTGTTGGCCTTTTACGTATTTAGCTAAATAAATACTCTTAATATTGCACTTCATTTTTTTCTTTTGGTAAAATAAAGATATTCAGCTCAATAAAGCTCAGCCAAGCCACTGTGTGCCACGGTTTCTCTCCTAGAGAGACTTATAGTCAATGAATGTCTGAAGGCAAATCATGCATAACAGCAGCAGAAAAACACACAGAAGTAACAGCATTTAGTATGACTAGATCCGTTTAGTTATCAAAGTCTGGGATGTCATCGTAAGAATAACCACGGTAACCCTTGGAAGCATAATAAGCGATCCGCAAATGATAGAATCCAGGAAGAAAGATCAGTACGCCGATGATGAGGACTGGAATTGTGCGATCTGGGTGCTACAAAAACACCATAAATTACTGTCAAACATAGCGACTGACAGATACAATTACAATACCGCAGTTTTGTCTACTCACCGTGACATTAATGTATCCCGCCAAAAGAAGTGATCCAATAATTATCAATACAGAGCCAATCAGAAATAGGAATGTTGCCAGGGCAATGGCCTTGTAGGGGACTTTAGGTGGGGTTTTCTTGAACTATAAAACAGTGTTTCATTTAATACAACATGACACAATAGTATGTAATACCATTTACAGTCATGTGAAAAAGAAATTATATGGTTTTACATACCAGGGCAGAATACCAATCAGCTGGTAGCAGGTCTTAAAATTAGGTAAATACAACCCAGATGAACAACAACTTGATATATTACACCTTGTCATTATTTATTTAGCAAAAACTAGGCCAAAATGGAGAAGCCATGTGTGACAAACTAACTTTGTTAACCTTACAGCTTCCATAGGAATTAAGAGTGTAAGTAGCAGTCAGGAGCTGATAATCAAAGGTCTTTGATTTATTGATAATCAGCAAGTGTGATCAACTCTATAAGTTTTTTCAGTTTGCTGGTCTGGAGCCTCCAGGTGTGTATTAAAACACAATGCCAAGGAGGAAAGACCTTAGCAATGATCTTAGAGAAGCTATTGTTGCTGCCATCAATCTGGGAAGGGTTATACGGCCATTTCCAAACAATTTGAAGTCCATTATTCTACAGTGAGGAAGATAATTCACAAGTGGAAAACATTCAAGACAGTTGCCAATCTTCCCTGTTGTGGACGTCCCAGCAAATTCACCCCAGGGTCATGACAGTGCAATGCTTAGAGAAACTGCAAAAAACCCAAGAGCTACACCTCAGACTCTACAGGCCTCAGTTAACATGTTAAATGTTAAAGTTCATGGCAGTAGAATTAGAAAAAGACTGAACTAAAACCACAAGACTTGTGAAACAATGTCTTTTAGACAGACGAGACCAAAGTGGAGATGTTAAGCTACAATGCACAGCGCCACATTTGGCAAAAACCAAACAGAGCATATCAGCACAAACACCTCATTCCAACTGTCCATCATGCTGATGGAGGGATGATGATTTTTGGCTTGTTTTGCAGCCACAGGACCAGGGCACCTTGCAGTCATTGAGTCGACCATTAACTCCTCTGTATGCCAAAGTATTCAAGAGTCAAATGTGAGGCCATCTGTCCGACAGCTAAAGCTTGGCCGATATTGGGTCATGCAACAATGATCAAAAACACACTAGCACAATGGCTGAAGAAAAAAGAATCAAGGTGTTTGAATGGCCTAGTCAAAGTCCAGACGTCACCGGGCTGAAATGTAGCGGCAGGACCTTAAGAGAGCTGCATAAACAAATTTCCCGCAAACATCAATGAACTGAAGCAACGTTGTAAAGAAGTGTGGGCCAGAATTCTTCCACAACGATGTGAGAGAAAATGATTACTTCAACTTATTGCTGCTAAAAGTGGCTCTACAAGCTATTAAATCATGGGGTGTTCTTAGTTTTTCACACATGGCTTCTCCATTTCGTCTTTATTTTTGTAAAATAAATAATGACACAGTGTAATATGTCATGTGTTGTTGTTCATCTGAGGCTGTGTTTACCTGATTTAAAGACCTGCTAACGACCAGATGGTTTTTTTATGCCCTAATCCGCAAATCAAAAATTCAAAGAGGGTGTACTTTCTTTTTCACATGACTGTAGATATTTTCTGCATCAAGTTTTCTCACCTGTAGATCAATGTAGCCTTCATCACTATCTGCCAGCTTGGAGTATTTCACCTTATTGTTCGGAGCAGCACTGGCTGTGTTGTTTCGTGTCGCAATCATGATGTATAGATTTGTTGGCACTTGAGGATGATGATGAGGATGAAAAGCAGCAAACTATACTGAGACTATCTGAGAGTGCATCCGCTCCTGGCGTGGTTTATTCTGGGAGACCAGAAAGAATGTTCTAACTCTCATAACAAATGCAACACATTTAGTTCAGCATAAAAGTCATGTTGGATTAGCTTCCTTTCATTTGAAATTACACATAAATTCAAATACACAACAGTCATTTGATAGCATCCTGGTGATATAGTCTATTATCTCAAGATAGATAATAATTTAATACCAGCTATTATATGGTTATTTAATAACCCCAAAGGGTTATTTATGCAGTCTGTGTAATCTTGTATTGCGGTTTCAGACTTCATCTGCGTTATACTCTGAAAAAAATTATAATGTGTAGGATTCACTTTAAGCAATTCTTACAAAATAAAATGCTAGTAAATTTCACAAACAGACAGCAAGTAACACGTTGAATTAAACGTGAAATTTTGAAGTAGAAAGACTGACATTGCATTTTCTTGTAAAATGTACTCCAATAATCTTTGTTTCATGTACAACTTCGAAAAATATTTTTTTACAGTGTTGATCAGTTTGTAGAAACGTTCATGTACTCACCAGCTAATACAAAGTCGTGCCTATAGGCCTATATTATTTCACTAAAGACAAAATAACCAAAGACACTGCGTTGTTTTATGTCGTTTCGAATAGACGACCTGAATTTTGATCTGCTACTGCCACAGCACAACAGAAACTTAGTTTTTTCCCCCTGAACACACTAACTACTTGTCCCTCTGTGGACATTGTTTACTTCCTTATTCCCATTCCAACATGCGCGCGCGCAGGAAAGAAGACCAGCGGCAGCCAATAGCAACTGGTCTTCTGCAAATGACAGAATATCAACGAGTAAAATAATTAAGTTACAGATTTTGCCATTTACTTTAAAAGAACGACATATGAAATCGATTTTAAACATTATATTATTGAAATAAATAATTACAATTAATAAATAGGCATGCATCAGACGTGAAATAAATAAACAAATGAATGAATAGGATAAATGGCTAACGTTAAATGAATTTAAATTTGAATACAGTGCATCAGTAAAACAACTAAATTTAAAACCAGTCAATAAATGTGCATCAATTATATTTATTTTGACTGTTAAAATACTTCAAAGACAAACATACACAAAACAAAACATAAACAAACAAATAAAATAAAATAAATGACTCAGTTATTACTCAAAATGACCTGTTTTTATCTAGATTAGATTTAATAATAATAATGATAATAATATATTAATAATAATAATAAATTACATTGATCAAATTAAATTTACCACACACTGCTCGTCAGATTAAATTAATTGAAATTTGAAGTGCTTTGAAAATCAGTGCAGTTCTCCACAAACACCAGCTCCCAGTAGGCTACACTAAATTACCAATAAGTCACGCTTTTTTGTCCATTTGGAATAATTTGACATTACCTGCTGGTTCAGAATGATATTGCTGAGCAGAGTTCAGTGAGTTCAACGAGACTCTCAGTGCTCAAGTACCAATTCATCTTCACAGAGGTGGAACTTGCTTTTTCAAATCAGTCAGGAATTGCTTGTGACATATTTATTTATTTAGATATTTTTCCCAAATATTATTTATTTAATTTTATATTCATAAACATAACTTTTATGATATTAACAGTGATATGATATTACAGTGACAATAAGCACTATGACAGCAATGTGCTGGTATTTTTTGATTATTCTAATATTCTGTAATGGATCCGTTGGATTGGATTTGTGTTCTACAGGCCAATACACTTTTCAAGTGCTAAACCTCATTCATCTGATCTGTTGGTTGTTAGCTTCCTTTTCCCCTCCATATTCTTTATGGTTTTTGCAACTGCTGACGTTGGCTGGCTTCCAGAGTAACCCTACAACAAAACAATGAAGAACCCTTAACATTCGCAGCACGTCTTGAGACTGCAGCTTTGAGGCAAGTGCTTCAATAGCTTAAAGTGACAACAAAGGAGGATATGAACGCCAACATATTTAAATTCAATGCAAGCAATCCATCATGCTTGCATTAAACTTTTGCATAAAGTTCTGTTTTTAATGCACGACAAGGGGAATATGAAGAACATAAGAAAGAAAACAAACAATTGATTCATGCTATTGATCAAAAGCTCATGGACATTAGATGAATAAGAGTTGCTCTATGATGTATGTAGCCAATAAATAAATAAATCTCATTCTTCTGAGAAAGAAGGTGCACATGTTCATTTCTTTGTTTTTGGAGAGAAATATTAAATTAAAATTGTGTTCTTATTTACTCTTTCTCCCATGTCATTCTAAACCATGATATTCTGTCTTTTGTGGGACACAAAAGTAGATGTTTTGAAGAATGTTCATTCTGCCCTTTTCCAATCAATGAAAGTGGATGTGCACCAGGAGCTGGCAATGGACAGTTTTAATCACACAGTTTTTTGTTGTTGTTGACATTCACTTTCATTACCAATGCTGATGAATTGCACCTTCACAAATTGCTCAGTTTCATATCAAACCAACATCTAGTCTTAAAGGCCCACCAAAAAAAAGTAGTTTTTAGTTTTAATACTTTTTTTTTGTCAGTTCAGATCTATTGTTATTAAAAAATAAATGAACATGTACAAAAATACTTTGACTTAGTGAGAAATGTCTAAGTAGAAAGCACAAAAAAAAAATCATAATTAGTAGCCTACATTGATTATTATTTAATTAAAAAACTTTTTATAGTTTGAAAATACAAATAATGATTGTATAGTAGGCTACTTTGTAATTGATGTTTACACAATTTGAAGTTTTTAGAATCATTAAATCTAAATTTGTGAGGAAAATAGTAGGCTATAGCAGATTTTTTTCCCAAACATTTTTAAAACAACGATACAGAGAGTATATTAAGGGTACATTCCTCCTTTTTACCATCTGTTAATGAGAGAGAGCGAGAGAGAGAGAGAGAGAGAGAGAGAGAGAGAGAGAGAGAGAGAGAGAGAGAGAGAGAGAGAGAGAGAGAGAGAGGTATGGTGGAAGTGAGTAGCCTGGGATGTTGGCACAAACAGTATTGCATCCCATCAGATTCCTCATCAGACTCGTGTTATTTGTTTTCTCAAAGATCACGAAACGAATGGAAATAAAACTCAATCATTTTTTCCAATGTTGCTCTGGATGATGGTAAGTGTGTACATTTTTTAAAGGATGTTTAGTCGGAATGATGAAACCTCAGCAATAAAAAAAAAGTTAATGTATTGATTATAATTGCGAACGCAGCATGCGATTGACAGACGCAATTATTATTATGGAATCATAAGAACATGTTTCTCTTACCGAAGAGCTTTTAATTAATCGATTTAAAAGTGAAATTGTTGTCTATTAAGCTATTTAGTGTAGCAGTGTGTTGGTGTATAATTTGCCGAATTTCCGAGACAATTAGGCTAGCCTTGAAGTTTTAAGTCATAGTCTAATTACACAAATGCTGTAATGTTGTAGCCAGGCTATATACATCAAGCGTCTCGTTCAAACGGTCTTAACTAATTGAATCCCCATATTTTCCCAGATGAGTGAGAGAACATGTATTTCACTCCTTGAATAGTCGAAGTTTATTCCTGGTCAATTGAAAAAAGTTGCCCAATAAAGAAAGTTTCAAACAACAAAGTAATAATTTAATAGTTGCCTATCAGACATATAAGAAACCAAAATTAATGAATATTTCATTTTTCATTTCATTTTGCTATTTAATGATTTTATAACGTGTGTCAATCCATTATTCAAAATGGGGCTCACACAAATGTGACTGATATGTCTTGTGATCATGAGCAATGCAACTTATTTTATTCAATATTACACATGTAGCCTATCATATGGTATTGTGTGTGTGTATACTATCCTGTTTTATGGAGCTTTAACACAGACATCGTCTTTCAGAGGCGCCAACTGGAATCATGTGACTTTACAGCAGTCATGTACAAATGTTGACATCAAATCAAGTCAATCTGAATTGTGTTACCATGTTTTTTGGTGTAGCTTTTGTGTAACAATTGAACACAAAAAAGCTGACATACATTTAGACAAGGGTCAACTACAACAACTTACCTTTTACAGTTATGTTGTTCTTGCTCCATTAATTCTTTTTAAATTTAGCTTCAGTGTCAGTTTCCATTGTGACAACTTACCCCCTTAAATGTCTTTGATTCTAACAAAAATACAGGAAGCGGTTTGCTCCAGTTACATAATTTGCCATTCATTACACTGTATAATAATAAAACCATTATCCATAAGATTTTGGGCACTGTATATTTTGGCCCATAGCCAGTGGATCACCAGATGATATACAAACTCTGAGTCAGCACACACCCAAATGAAAAAAAAAAAAGAAATACCTTGAGTCTTTTGTTTTATCATACATTTATAGTTTTAATGTATTTATCTAGGTTTTGTTTGTACGCACAAGGCATATTTATTTCCAACATGCCATGGGTTGTTGAAATATTGCTCTTGCCAAGATATGGATGTCAGTATTGCTGTGTCTATAAATCTATCCATACATTTCCTCAAGCTTTACTTAATCAACTTGAAAGCCTTTTTTTATATCAGTTTTGGCATCTCACCTTGAATTGCATTTCTTAAGGTTTTTTGAACAGGAAAAGAATCACTACCGCATGAAATGCTTTTGAGACATAGCTCTGCTTCAGTGAAAGATTTGGCCTGTATGTGAGCTTCTGCAGTTATAGTTCACTAGAACAAATTGACAAATAGATGAGTCCTAAAAGGCTTTTGTGAATTGAGTCTGCATTGTGGCAAAACTACTACACCAAAACAATTCACAGAATACTAACTTGAAGAACCAAGCACTTTTCCATCTCATTACATAATGCATTATGAATCAGTCATACAGAGCCGTAAGTGGTTCACAGCCAGATACTGAGATATGTTTTATGATAACATTTATTTTAGCTGAATTGTGAGGCCATGCAGCTGAATTGTGATCCCCTCACTGACTGCATGCAAAAGCAAACATACCGTACACAATCTGCCCCAGTCAATCTATATGGTTCATTTGAATGAGCCAGTGAATCAGTCTGAACAGAACATACTAATTAAGATATCGACTGAATGATATGTCATTATTGAAGCCATAAACTCAATAAGAACCATAATTGCTCATTAAGAATTACAAATTTGCAAACAATAAAACTGAAATGTGGTTCTTATGAATCAATCAGTCAAATTGAATCATTAAAACTGACTGGTGAATCTGAATAGAACACAATTGGTCTCAATCTTGGACTGAATCATTCACACTGATTAGTGAATAATTCTGAATGAATCACGTCTGAACCCGTGTCCGAAATCGCATAGCTACTGTCTGAGGTACTACATTTGAATAAGAATTTCTTCTTCAGGTTATTCTGCCTGACTCAAGCCAAGAACCATTACTGTTTTATTTGTACTTTTGGAAAGCAATGCTAAAATGCTAATTCATAAGTTTAGTGAAACTGAAATCACTTTAGTTATACTTATGGGTTGTTAATATCAACTTGTAGTTAAGGATAGATACAGAACATGTATGCACAAAAAATGGTGGAGATAAAAATGGTAAAAAATAAAAATAGAATTGATTTAAGATGGGTTAGCATAAGTCAGATTGCTTGCTGGGGCTGGTGCAAAAACAAAATCATGTCAGAAACACTGCTTATAATCTGTTTTTTTCTTTTTAAGGTTGCAAGATCATAAAAACTATGATGGCTGATGGCTAAGATCAAAAGTCATACCTGAGAAACTTAAATGGCACACGAATGTCCTCAAGTGTGACTGCTATGGCTACTGAAGCATGTTGGAGTTGAAACCACAAAACATGTTAAAAGTCATGGATGGTTATCATCTGCACAACATGTTACTGCAGTTTGCTACTCAAACTTAACTTCGTAACTTGCATAGAGACGTCATGACCAACGTGTTTCCAGCAGAAGATAACATAAGTTCAACCTTTTTTCCTGAGAATTGTCCCAACTGCACTGCGATACCTTCGTTTGAAATAGATCTCACAAAGACACTGGCTTTGGGCCTGGTGCTGATGCTCTTCATAATTTTCGGTGTGATGGGTAACATCCTGGTCATCCTCTCCGTGGCCTGCCATCGCAACTTTCGTTCCGTGACGCATTATTTTATCGCCAATCTGGCCGTTGCAGACCTGCTTCTGAGCTCTGTGGTGATCCCGTTCTCCGCTGCATCTGAAGCCTTGGGACGCTGGGTATTCGGCCGCCATTTCTGTAATGCCTGGACCGCGCTTGACGTGCTTTGCTGTACGGCGTCCATCCTCAGCCTCTGCGTGATCTCTGTGGATCGCTACATCGCCGTCAGTTACCCACTGCAGTACCCTTCCTGGGCTACGAGTCGAAGGGCACTGGCGGCAGTGGCGGCTCTCTGGGCCCTTTCGGCTGCCATCTCTGTAGGCCCACTGTTTGGATGGAGGGATCCAATGCCGGAGGACGAGTCCGTGTGCAGAGTTAACGAAGAGCCGGGGTACGCCATCTTCTCCGCTGCATGCTCTTTCTACGTGCCGTTGGCGGTGATTTTGGCAATGTACTGTAGGGTGTACGTGGTGGCCCGGCGGAAGACTCGTTCCATGAGTAAGAGCAGGCAGAAGAATGGGTTGACGGAGCACGGAGTAACCCTGCGGATTCACTGTCGTAAGGAGGAACCCGTCCACTTGAAGCACTCGCACTTCACCTTCATGATTAAGTTCTTCCAGGAGAAGAAGGCGGCCAAGACTCTGGGGATTGTGGTGGGCTGTTTCGTGCTCTGCTGGCTGCCTTTTTTCCTAGTGTTGCCCATAAGTGAGTACTTGACATGTATGTGAACACACAGCAAAGCCCATCCAAAAAACAAAAACAAATCTTAAATATAATTTAAATTAAAGTGCCCCAATTATGCATTTTTAAAGGTTTCTAAATTTGCTTTGGAAGTCTTCTACAACAGCATTCAAGTTAAAAAAACACTTTCATTTTCTCATAATATACACTGTAGCATCACTTTGTTTCTCACAGTGTCTGAAACGGTTCGATAAAGGATTCAGTCTTTCTAAACCCCTCCTTTCCGAGAGCTTCCTCTGCTCTGATTGGTCAGATGGACCAGTCTGTTGTTATTGGTCTACCGCTTACAATGAAATCAGAAACAAAAAATCCATTACCATGTCTAAATTTCAGCTCCAGAGCTTCCTCAGCACTTGATGCACAGTGATAAGTAGGCAAGTTTTATTTTAAGTACAACAATGGTGTCGGTTTTACCATATCAATTTAAGTCCGTGTCCTCATCCTTTGGAAGTGCAAAGTGGATTTGCTTTCGCAGCGTGTTTTAACATGTCGACAACATGAACCAAACTCTTCGAGGCCTCAGCTACAACTACAGTGTTTGAGGGACGGTCCTTCCAGTTAGTAAAGACCATAGGCGAGCATTATGCAAATTTGTTACAAACCTACAGTATGTAGGTTAGACTTAAAGGGATAGTTCACCCAAAAATGAAAATTAAGTCATTAATTACTCACCCTCATGTTGTTCCAACCCCGTAAGACCTTCGTTCATCTTCGGAACACAAATGAAGATATTTGTGATTAAATTTGAGAGCTGGATCACTGCTACATAGGCTTCCTAAGGGAGTGAAACTTGACGGCCCAGAAAGTCATTGAAGAAAATGTTTAAATATTCCTTGTGACTACAGTGGCTCAACTATAAGTTTATCAAGCGACGAGAATACTTTTTGTGCGGAAAAAACAACAAAAATAACGACTTTATTCGACTATTCCTTTTCTTCCTTGTGGGCCTGAGACGAGAGTTCAAGAGATTTCCACGACGCATGCGCGAGAACTGAACAAGAAGTAGTAGAAGAAGAACGTCCTCTTCTCAGTTCTCGCGCATGCGTCGTGGAAATCTCTTGAACTCTCGAAAAAAATAAATACAAACTCATGCTGTGTCAATCACGTTTACACACTGCCTCCGAAACTATTGTCCGTCATACAAAATATTTGAATCGGTCTAATTTTCTGCGTTTTTTCGCGTTTGTTGCAAGAATTTTGAGAGGTGTTTTGACAATTTAGAGCCACCGAATGACGAATACGGAAAAAACGGACCTTTAGACTTCTTAATTGCCCTCAAAGTCTAAATCCCGTCTGGCTAGCGATCTTACCATAATGTTTATGCGTTAGGTCAGTAGGCGGAGAGCAGGGGTTCTTTTGCGGCTGTTCGACCACTTTCACCCATATGAGTGTTTACGCTACGAAAGCAATCCGGTTGAATGCGTTTTCGACTACCTCTGGAAGTGGTCGAAAGTGGACAAGCTCAAACCGTTTTAGACCCCGTTTACACCTGTATTTAGCTTCGTGCACTTGTGATCCGATCGACAAAAACACATCTTAATACCAGATGTAAACAGGGCCTATATGCCAGGACTGATGCGGCATATTCCTCTAAACTAGCTCCTTGTGCAAGGGTGTCCCATTCAGAGCTGAGATACTGTTCTCCCTCCATACTTGCACAGACTTTATCTCCGACTTAATTCCACTGATCTATGGTTTGTAAGATGGAATAAGAATCCAAGGTGTGGAGATGGTGAGGCTTTAGGGTATATGCATTTGAAAAGTTGGTATAAAACTTGATCTAAAGTGTTCTCCCCTCTTGTAGCAAAATGCACATTGTTATAAAACGACCCGATGCCCCCATTGGGTAAATGTTATCTTGCTGGGCACTGGGCATGGAAACAATATCACCGGTGGAGTGGCGTTTGATTTGTAAGCTCTGATGGTTAACAGTTCCAGTCGATCGTAGGATTTCCGTGCATCGGTTCCACACATATACGAAAACACAAGTAAGCATAATAGATAAAAAAGACTGCTGCTACTAGGAAAGCGCCAAGCCGCTGCATGTGTATGCGCCGCCATCTTCATTCGGTTCATGCAGGAAGTAATGCTGCATCCCAATTCACCTACTTATAGTACGCTCTAAAAGTATGTACTCTTTTTGTCAAGAAAAAGTAGATACTTTTGAGTGTGTTGCAGAAGAGTAGATAAGCTTTGGGACATACTATCACGTCATACAATTGCGTCTTTAACGGTTGCTCTCCGTCGCAGTAAACCGACCTGTCAATCATCTTTTCAAAGTTAAAATCCTCCACATTTCATTTAATTTCCTACCGTATCAGAGAGAAATGCAGTAGCACAAAGATCTGCAGTCGCGGGTCTTTCATGCGGAGAATTAATGCATAATGATAAGGATCTTTATACAAGTCCACATTGTTATTGCAGATGAAATATAACACGGATGACATTAAACAAATATTTTTTTTACTGTTGGTTGCGCATATCTGCCATGTTTTGTAGTTTTGTAACACTTTTTACTCGTGTTTGTAGTTCTCCAAAGCGCAATGGGTCATGGGCAATATTAGCCTTTTTAGTGAGCACGGATCCACACTTCGAAAATTTACCGGAAAAAGTAGACCATCCGGGGACTTTTGACATACTCTTTTCAACATACTATGCTTTGGGACACACTTATTCTAATCTCACATACTATTTAGGATGGATAGTACATTGGGATGCAGGGTAAGACTGGAATTACTGGTGACTCATTTCAGGCAGTTCTTCTTCCTCTTCTTCTTCTTTTGGTTTTAATCAAGGGGGTAATCCATCGACCGGAAGTTGAAGCCGGCCGGGTGCCGCCATGTTGTAGCAGAACTTCACTTGCGTTAGCATTTCCATTGACTCCCATTCATTTTTGCGTCACTTTGACAGCGAATAACTTTACATCTGAGGCGTTTAAAGACTCCATTTGTCCATCATTTATTTCTAAAGAAACACGACAATGTATAAAGGGCTCCATTACCTTCTATGTTACATTATGGCCCCGTAGAAACAGATTTAGTAAAAATAGGCTAACGATTGCGTCATAACCACTCGACTCTCTGTCGCGCTGTACAGAAGTTACCGTACAGACAGGAGGAGAAGCTCGCAGGCAATCGGGGGGACGTCCCGTCAAGGGAGAAGCCCATAGATAATGAGTCCATAAAAGCAACGGAATTCTTACTCCTGCTCACTCACGCCAAAGAACTCTTTGCTCAAGTTCCCCGTCTCTGCAAGATTAACGTTGGCAGTTTTCACGCACAGCTACTAGAAGATTAACGTCTGTCAGACAGGTTGCTCACGTCATCAAGCTTAGTTTGAGTCGGTCTGAGTCTGCGCGTCAGGAACGGAAGTTCTCAAAAATCGCTAAAAGTGGGCTTCAACTGTCTCAACTGAGTTCCAATGAGATCGCTCTGTCCATTTCTTTTACTGTCTATGGTTTTAATGACAGTTGGCAAACCAAACTTTAAGGTGCATTACCGCCATCTACTGGACTGGAGCGTTGGCAGCAGATTGACATGGGGAAAAATCATAAGAAAAAGCATAATAGGGGCACTTTAAGGTAAAATGTTCTTATTTTGTTTTGTTTTTGCATTTTGGTCACAACACACGACTTTGATTTGGTTGGACAATTTTTTTTCAATGTTTTGTTTAAATAATTTGTTTTACTTCAAAATAATGATAAAAGATTATGCCAAACTACTTAATTGAATGTGCCCATTTGAATATGTGAAAGTACGAATGAGATTTGAGAGCTAATGCAGAGGGGAGATTATCGTAAATATACACGGCCGAAAATGAGATTATTTGAATAACTTAAATCTTGGTCTATTTCTGACACAAATGTGTTGTATGGCTTCAGCAGAAATGTAATACATTAGTGTCATTTTTAGTGCTCGGCTGCTTCATCCTCATTCATTTTCATTACTCTGAAAAGAAAAGGTTTCAAAATAAAGTACATATTTATAACAACATATGGGCGAGTAAATGATGACACAACTTTTGGGTGAACCCAACTTGCAATAACTCAGAGAACATATATGTGCTAACTAATGCTCTGAATAAGGCATGTGTAACGAGCGTATTTGATAGACACGTTGGTTTCAAGCGAAACACATTTTAGATGTTATGCTTTCATTTATATTTTATTATTCTCACACGTTTCAAAACAACCCAAGGTTCTCCCACACTATGACTCTATGCATAAACAACATTGACATAATTCTTGCAGGTCCCTTTGAAATTGCTTTTAAATGAGCTTGTTTACAACGAAAGAATGAATCATGAAAGAAAGAGAAAGTATTGCAGACTGTTTTGACCCTGATAGTCATAGAACACACTTATGCTAAACAGCAGTTCAGAAAACGAAATATTTTGAATGTATTCCAAATGTATTTGCAGGCGAATCTGTAGCATTTGCTCTTACATTTAATGTTTTATGGAAATACAGCTTATTTATCTGCCTTTCTGCTTAGTAATTGGACAGCTAAGACGCTATTATCATTTGTGCGTCTGGTTCAAAGCTTTCAGAATACTAAGAAATGCGCACATCAAAGCAAAGCCATTGGAAATATGAAACACCCGAAACCATTTGACCTGCCGTCTTGGAGTGACCTTATGAATGAAGCTGGAGGTCTCTTGCCGCATAGCCTATAGTAATTTTGTCTTTTCTTATTTGTGTCCCCAAAGGCTCAATTTTCCCATCTCACAGACCCCCGGACACTGTCTTCAAAATTACTTTCTGGCTGGGCTACTTCAACAGCTGCCTCAACCCCATCATCTACCCGTGTTTCAGCCAGGAGTTCAATAAGGCATTCCAGAACGTTCTCCGTGGCCGCTGCCTCAGCAGAACGCACAAGACCTGGAGCCCTCCGGCCTCTTGTCGAGACCCTACGAACCTGCATGGACCCAAATCTCCACAGGGTTTACCATCTAGATTTACTGACTCCTGGAGGACTACTAATGAATCTCCTTCTGCTGTGATACTGAATGAGTCCTCATTTACTGAACATGCACATAGCAACAGTGCTCTGAATTCACCTGACACATCTCTGACTCTGAAAGTTCATCAAGTTTCCATTTGCAAGATGGAAGGTGAGGCTCTATGAAATATTTCTGAAAGAATGAAAAGGCAACCTTTGTACGGTATTTTACAAAGACATTACTGTGGAATTGAACAAGACATTGCCAAGGATCTGGCAAGATTTTGTATACAGGAGCGCCACCTTGTGGCAACATCTATAATATGCAGCTGCACTTCTGTTAAGTGTAAAACTGTGAGGATTCATACATTTGGAGTGTAAAAATCCAGCTTGGTAAATGCAATGATTGTTGACAGAGCCATTTGAAACAGCTTATTTTTGTTGTTGTTAGGGGGGGTTTTTTTGTATTGTTTTGTAAAAAAAATTCATAAAACTTGTGAAGGTCTTCAAAACTTGTGCTTTTAAAAATACAAATACACACATTTGAGTTAAAGAAAATGTGAAAAAATTTGTGTTTTGCATTGTTTTTCATAAAATCTTAAAAAACTGAACATTTAAATCTAAAAAAAGTTCATAAAGTCTTAAAGGTTTCTTCAAATGGTTGGTTAACACTTTACAATAAGGTTTCATTTGTTAGCATTAGTTAACAGCCTACATTAGTTAGCATGAACTATCTCTAAATATGATACTTATACAGCATTGTTAAACCCTTTCATGCATGAACCACAGTCATGTTTTTTCCCCCAGTGTTTTTATTGCTCTAATCATGAAAAACAAGATTTTATTTTTTTAATACACATATTTTTCAAAGAGATTTTCAGATGTCCACTTGAGTGGACTGTATTGGTTTTATCTGAAGAGAAACTGTATAATACAGTAATAGCACAGTTATACTGTGTGGATTTAACAAAGCAATGAATAAAATGTTATAAAATCATGTGAAAACTATCAAATATATACAAAAAACTGAAAACTGGCAATCAGGTGTTTTCAAAAGTCATCTGAAGTGAGCAGTGTGTAGTAGCGCTTTGCAAGTAACATGCATTACATGATCAGATTATCAGAGCTCTGCCCTGGCAGCTTTGTCTGTTCTGTCTTTGTTAACCCTCTGGGGTCCTTCATTTCAGAGTCACACTCAGGACCTTCGGGTCCAAATGCGCCGGAAGGGTGGGATTAATATTTATTAAAAAAAAATCATCTTTTTTTTTTTTTACTTGTTTTTTATAATATTTTTTCTTTTCTTTTTTGGTGTTTTGAGATAATTTCAAAAATAAAAATGATTTATAATTAATATTAATGCAATAATTATGACCCATTTTTTCCCCATTGAATATAATAGAAATTAAAAAAATATATATATTTTTTTTTTTTTTTTTTTTTAAAGCTGTATTTCATTTTAGAGTCAAGCCTAGGCCTCATGAAAGCAATTTTTGAAATGAGATGGATGCCATCTGGTGGACAAACTGAGCATTTTAAAAATTCAAAAACCCATATGTAATCTGAATTTATTAGTGTGTATGTGTATAAAAGTGTGTTTGTGTGTGTGTGTGTGTGTGTGTGTGTGTGTGTGTGTGTGTGTGTGTGTGTGTGGATGTGTCTGTTTTGCACTCTTGATGTTTTATAGATTCACCCCTTCACTGTTGTGTGCTTTTTTTCTGGATCGTGGCTGATTTGTAGTTTGTACGCACAAAATAACTCTGTATTTTCACATTTTTGCCAATTTCCCATTCATTTCCTATGCGGGTCCATTTGGACCCGAAGGTCCTGAGTGTGACTATTTTTTTTACAACCACTTAGACTATTCAAATCCTGTCCCCAATTTTTTGGGGTGTTCATATGCCAAGTACCAACAAAGTCACCAAATTTCGGACCATTCCGATAAAGCAATGATTTAAAAATAAAAAAAAATTAAATGCTTCGGGTCCATTTGGGCCGAAGGACCCCAGAGGGTTAAATGTTTCCATGTGTTTTGTGCTTGAGCACATGGCTTATTCTCTGTTTATATTGGCCATGTGCTCCCCTTGTCTTGCCTCCTTGTTTCCCTTTACCACAGGGGCGTAATTTGTGGGGGGGATGGGGGGGATATAACCCCCCCAATATTTAAATCTATGCATTACAACCCCCCCCATTATTTATACCATGATCCCAATATCAGGAGGCATACCCAAACTTCAACCCCCCCAATGTTCAAACCAAATCTACGCCCTTGGGGCGCACACTCGTTTAGTCCTTGTCTAGACCTCGTTTCTCTAATTGTACTCACCTGGTCCTCGTGTGCTCTACTCCCTTTATATTGTGCTTCCTTGCTTCATGTCTCTGCTGGATTGTGATGCGTTTATGTCATAGACTTGTCTCAATTCTTATCCGGATGTTGTTGTCTCTAGAGTTCTCAGTAGTTACTGGTATCCTTGCAGTTCTTGCTTTTGGTTAACTTTTTAGTTAGTTACCTTGGCTTTTTCTTTGATTTTATTATTTAGCCTGGGTTTACACTGATTTATGCTTAGCTTTCTCTAGTTATTTGTTTTGGCTGTTGTTTTGTTCTTTTCCTTAGATTTTATAGGAGTAGTTTATCAGTAACTTTATTCTAGTTTTTTGCTCTGCCTTGTACGTATTTGACGTTTGAGTGTCTTGAATGTTCTTGTTGTGTCTTGTTTCTCCCGTGTGTTGGAGTCCCACCCTGTCCAGCCCGAGACTCCACAGACTGCTGGTATGCTGGCTTGCTGGCTGCTTAATCTTGTGCCCATCTCCTTTCCAAACATTTGTTGTGGGACTGTTCACCTGTTGCACATTGATTCCCGTTTTGTCAAATAAACATTCACTGCTCATCTCTGCGCTTGGGTCCTATTATTACCAGTGACTCCCTGACACTTACTTTTTAGATGTAACGAGTAAAGTAATGCATTACAAGTAACGCGCATTAAGTAATCAGATTTTTGATGGAACGAGTAAAGTAACGCATTACAAGTCGTGCATTATGTAATCAGATGTCTTTTTGATGATACAAGTAAAACAATGCACTACAGGTAACATGGATTATGTAATTGGATTACATTTTGATGATATGAGTAAAGTAATGCATTACAAGTAACATGGATTATGTAATCAGATTACTTTTTGACGATATGCGTAAACGCATTACAAGTAACATGCATTATGTAATCCGATTTCTTTTTTGATGATATGAGTAAAGTAATGCATTACAAGTAACATGCATTATGTAATCGGATTACTTTTTGATGTAACTGCAAATTACAATCTAATGAAACAAATACATTTACTTACAGCCAAAAAAAAGTTACTGCAGATAAAGTATTTTCTAGAACAACAGTCACAGTAATAGTACAAATAGCTGAAATATAGCTTGATGCATGATGCCCAATTTAGTGGACATATGATTAATCAGACTTTGTTCCCAAACTTGATGTTACACTTTTTTCTTTTTTTTTTACCTGCATTAATCTCAGAAATTCTGAGTCAGAATGGATGGATATTCCGTAGCAACTTGGCATTTCTGACTGGAAGTCGGCCATCTTGGTTTGGAGAAAACAAAAATTCCACATACAGAGGCTTGCCACTTGGTGACAGTGTGTAGGATGATGCACTAGTGTCCACTATAGAGGTTGATGTGCAACTGTGCCATCAAAACCCGTGCATATGCAAAAAATGGCTTTTTAATTAGCTGTCCACTAGTGACCTCTATGCGTCAAAGGCTTAATCTTAGGTAATGTTAATTTCATTTACAAATACATTATTAAAATAAAAAGTTGTATCTGTTAACATTAATTAATGCACTGTGAGCTAACATGAACAAACAATAATTGATTGTATTTTAACTAACATCAAAAAAGGTTAATAAGTAATGTAACATAATGCTCTAATGTTAACTGAGACCCCAGAATTCTTTTTTTAATATTTTTTTTATATTGTGTTTTAATTGGAAACTTTTGAACCCACTGTATATAGGCTATATATATATATATATATATATATATATATATGACGATGATGTTGAATCACTAGTAGTGTTTCTGCAGTTTACAACAATACTTGGATTGAAATATTAGCCTATGCCTTTGGTCATATTGATGATAATATTAAAAGACTCAGTAATGTTAGATTCATTTGTCTGCTTTAACATGGTCTTTGCTGGTTTCCTGATATGTTTCATATTGTGCATATTGCTGAAAATCAAAGAAAGAGTAGAGAAAATATTTCCTTTCTCCCCCTTTTATTAATTTTCCATTTTTGTAACATCACCATCCAAGGGATTAGACACTTTTCAGCGCAAGCGAACATCCTCAAACAGCACAGCCAACAGTATAAACACCAGTACACAACAGATTCACTTCTGGACTGGGGTTAATGGGGAAAGAGAGGGGCGGGACTAGAAATCATTGGCAACCTCAGACTGAACCATCTTTCAGCTCCCATCTGCATTTTACATAGATTACATACCACGCATAGAAGAACATTCAAGCACACATAGCAAAGTGTGTGTGTGTGTGTGTGTGTGTATTAGTGCCAACAGCTGCTCTGGGATCAGAGGAAATGCTCATGGCATGTTTTATTTGAACTCTTGCATATGTTCAAGATGTCTCAAGGAAAAGACTTGCAAAACTCACATAGGACAATTCTGTTCTCAATTTATGCCATATTTCCACACCATACAAATAAAATAATTAGCTTAATATGTTTGTCTTGTTTTTTTTTAAATAAACATCATTAATTAAACTAGCCATTAAGTTCAATTGAGAAGCAAAATTGTGGAAAAATAATAAAGTACGCTTGAATGTGAAAAATACACACTGGCAAACCATACACATAACATTGTTCAGGTTAAAAACGAAATAAAAACGGTCCATGATGTGTGGAGGAAAAAAAAAAAACTTAATTCAATACTCCCTTATAACTTTAGCCTAACTCAGTTTTCCTTCTCCAATATTTGTGCTCCTGTGTAACAGATGTTTAACAAGAGAAAAATACCAAATAGGATTTTTTTTTTTTGCTGTCTCTCAAACTATCAATCCAGAGAAAAACGTGCCACCAAGAAAGGCACACAACAGATTCTGACAGCTTCTCTTTTGGAAAAGTGGGTACTACTGTACATATAATGGTTTGTGTTGCACTGTAATCACAACATAGTTGAAGTGTCCAGCCATTCGATGTTGTTTTAATAG